ACTATGCAGATTACTGTTACCCAAATTAAATACAGTTCTTTATTATTAGTACTAATATTGTTAATATCATTATTATTAGGCTGCGCAGTATATTATCACTGCGGGTGGAATCGCCGCGCTGTTTGGTGCTCTCCTTGGCGGAACGTTTGCAGTACCACGAATCATCTACGCGATGGCTAAAGATGGCTTACTCTTTACCTATTTCTCAAAAGTCAACAAGACCACCAGCACTCCGGCTCGGGCTATCGTCGCAGCTAGCGTATTAGCTGCTTTCATTGCCCTGCTTTTCGACCTAAAGCAACTCGTTGAGATGCTAAGCATCGGTACCCTTATGGCTTACACGTTAGTGGCTGTCTCTGTGATCGCACTGCGTTTCCAACCGGGAGTTAAGAGCATAGAAGAATCGAGCAATGATATGTTTGCAAGCCGGGTGTTCTGTTGCAAAGCCAACCCAGATGCATTCCACGATTATTTGAAGTTAGATACATCAAGTATTTCATCCTTGAGTCCGCACTCTTCAAATACCGCGGATTCAAAATCCAATGCTATCGCCGACATCTCGGAAATTCAACCAGATTCGCGATCCAGTTGCATAGCATCAGCATCGCTTGCGTTGATCATATTCGGTATGGGAGGGGTGAGTGCGGTCTTCATCGGTGCCTGGGGCAATCTTCTAGGGGAGGATCCATGGGCAATAACAACCTTGACACTGAGTGGGGTGGTCATTATAATGGGTGTGGTGATTATGGTACTCCAGCCAACCAATGGTGCCAGATTTCCATTCACGGTACCATGTGTACCAGTACTTCCTCTGGCCAGCATTATGGTGAACGTATTTCTACTGTTGAAGTTGCAATATATGACCTGGATACGATTTGCTGTATGGCTGGTTATTGGTAAGTTCCAGAATAATTTTTGTACTATTGCTAAACCATTTTCATAACAACACAGTTTTCTAAATTACAGCACAGACAAGAACTGCTATATTAGAAAACAAATTATGACACAGTGGTCAGTACGATTTACGAACTGAAATTGCATTGACTGTTGTTTTTTAGTTCAAGCAGGAACTGATGACGCCATGATTAACGGCTATATAAATTATGTATGCGTGACGTCCGTATTGTCAAAAATGCTCTTGTTTAATAAACTCTCTTAGTCTACTTTTGAAGAATTAACGTCACATTCTGTTCTGTCTGTCATAATTAAACTTTTGGCAAGTATTACTTTACTCTTTTACCTTACATATGATTTTGAAGTCATGTAAACGATTAGCGTGGATTATAGAATGTGTATCTCATTGAGAAAGATATCCAGGACCGCCCAGAGGGGGGGAGGGGGGGAGGCAAAAGAGTCAATTTGCCCTGGGTCCCAGCTAAAGGGGGCCTCCAAGTAAAGTTAAAGTAAAATGTGCATAGAAACCACTGGTTAAGTATTCTCCCAGAATGCAGGAATTTGCTATTCTAGGGGCTCTAGATTTCAAAATTGTCCCTCAGTTTAAGAACGGAATATGCATTGAAAATGTTATACATGAAAGCATTCAAAATCGTAGGGAAATAATCTTGCTAATTGTACTGTCCTAATGGGGATCAATCTCTAAAAGAGCTCACATATATAACGTTAAGAATTTTTGACGATAAAATTTGCCTCGGGCTCCCAAATTTCTCTGTGCGGCCCAGGAGATATTACATTTTTCATTGAGGTAGCTGTATGACTCTAGCCCGTTTCCACTTCAAGCGTACAGTACCGAAACGTGATAAAAAAAATAAATTTAGTCATTATTGATTGCTTATTACTTCCGAGGTACGCCAAAAAGTTAACTTGCGACGAACTTTTCATTTTGATACGCGAATACACCCGGAAGTACGTGATTTATCAACCTATTTTCAATCTATACGCATGCCCACCAGTACGTTTCGATACGGGCGAAGTGGAAAACGGCTTTAAATCCGCAGCTGTTGTTGTTGTCGCTACCCACACTGGCACAAACCGGTCGAGATGGGGTCACCATCTTTCCTATACTACTATCCAGCCTCGTGGTTGGTCGATTATAACAATGAAGGACAATAAAACTATAGAAATCGTCTTTATAAAGAACAAGTCACGAACAATGATCATTTTTGTTTCTGAAAGCCAATCACAAAATTCACAAAACATGAGCATTTTAGGTAGGTCTTTACCCTCGAGATGTGTAACTCATAATCTTTTCTTCCCTAGGTTTGATGATCTACTTCATGTACGGAATACATAACAGTGTTGAAGGTAAAGACGAAGACTCCAATAATAAAGACGAAGTGAAGTTGATAATGCCTCCACCTCCCGACAAACTTTACGACATGAAACAAATACAGCCAGAAAACAAGAAAGAACCGCTTGATGCAGATTTTGATGATGATGATGAACCCAGATATGTCGAAAATTAGCTACTTCTGAATAATTAGGTCTAAGACTAAGGGTTCGGCTGTTTACATGATCCGGTTTTGCCGTGACGATGTGAGGAGAGATGATTTTGATGTATTCAAATCACGATTCAGCAGAATTACATTATTTTCCTATACAGTGATAGATAGATTACAGTATTGTAAACGAAAGGTTGTTCAAGCCGCAGTAATAATCTTCTTGAACTACAAGATCTTCTCTACAACATTTGAGTTCTTCGTTCTCAGTAGCCAAGAGTGAATTATTTGAATCATGGCCCGATTTTGAGGGGAGGTGTTGGGAGGTGCGCATCTCCCCTGAGATCGTTTTGCAGCTCCCGTGAGAATTTTTGCACTTCCCCTAAAATTTTTTCCACCTCCTCCACTATTTCCACCAAAATCCGGCCTTGATTTCAATACATCAAAATCATCACGCCTTCCATCCCATCCGGACAAATCGCGATCATGTCAACAGCCCCGCCAAAGGTTGGTACGGACGAAAAACTGGTTGGTAAAATAATTACTAGAATCATATTTTCTATAAAATGAAGGGATATTCTTGACTTGAATGCTTAACGATACAAAGCACCATAGATACTAGGCTCAGATTCCAGCCGTCGGGGTTCTCGCTCTGGAATCTGAGCATACATATAGATACATGCTCCAGTAAAATCCCGCGTACAAAAACAATCTACAGTCTGAAATTTACCATTTATATAAAAATCTATTTTTTTGACAACCAATTTGGAAATTTGGAAAACTCCAATGTGGTAGACAAGTAATAGATATGGAATAAAGGGGGGTTATGACTGCTTTTTCAATTTCTAATATGACTGTTTAGTGGTAGTATATGAGTCTAAAGCCCCGTTTAGACTACACTCAATTTTTGGTACGGCACGGATGAAATTGGTACCCGTACCACTTTTTTGGTTCTTGGACTAACTATTTGGCTAAGCCCCGTTTACACTACGACTTTACAATTTTTGGTACCGTACCACTTTTTGGTTCTTGGACTACCTAAATAGGTAGTCCAAGAACCAAAAAAGTGGTACGGGTGCCAATTTTATCCGTGCCGTACAAAAATTGAGCGTAGTGTAAACGGGGCTTAAGAATCCTTTGAAGATTCTTAGAATCTTAGGCTTAACTCGTCTTATGCATCAAATAAGCATGCATGCATGTAAGAGCCTATTCGCCCCCTGACCTCTAAAATAGTAGTTTCTTAAAATCCGGATTTTACTGTATATACCTTCTTTATCCTTATAATATTCAAACTACAGAACCAACTCTCGGTATAAATGACACTCAAAATGGACAATAAAAATACTGATTTGCCATGCCGAATTAGTAGTTTTAGTTTGAGTATTTTCTTGTAGAATAGTATATCTGTTTCCTAATTTACTATTTTAATGTAGGAATATCGTCTTTATCGAGTAATTTAGTAACGCGGCAGAAATGAGAATTTAGAAAAAGAACGTAATATAAAAAGACTTTATTGTAGTATAGAAGAATTAGTTTTAATGAGTGATTGCTTAAAAATAATTCAAAAATCGAATATATAAAAGAAGATAAAAAACCGAATCGTTTGATATTGAATTTGAGTTCATTTTGCAGACGAACAAAAACAATTTTAGTGCATGCGAACCAAGGAATCTATTGTTTTCAATAACAGTATTCCTGCTTTTTATTATATTCCAATGATTGCCATAACTTTCATCCGGTTTCAATAAGCTTGCAGCAGCTAATTGCAAGTCTATTGACACAATGGTGGACACCAAAGGGAGCCGGAGGGCTACCGCCCCCTCCCTCGCCACCAATAATTTTTGAAAGCTTTTAAATGAAAGCTGAATAGCAAAACTGTAACAATAATTTCTCAACCATAAATGCATTGGTATATAAGCTATAAATAAAGCTCATGGAATTTAAGGCAACAAAGCTAAAAGAAGATTATCAGCAACAAAAGGTGGTCTCCTTTTCATTTGATATATATGTGGATGTTTTGTATTCGAAGGCAAATAAATTGAATTGAAAGATGCAGTTTTATTTGCTGCCTACAAAAGTGTCAACATTTTTGAAACTGACGTACTACCATTTACTCTGTCTCATATTTTTTAAATAATATCAACAGAGCCTAAAATAACATGCAGACATTAATTGTCCGTCAATAAATAATACTTTATTGCAAACACTATTTACAGTATGGTTAAATACTTCTAAATTTAACAATTGTGCCTTCTTTGCGGACTGATCGTATCAGTGCATTCTTTGGTTAACTCATAGTTACTTCAAGAAAACTGATTGGTACTTTTGTTCGGAAAAAGTCTGATGTCCGACTGTCATTTCAGACTCTGTACCAATCCATCATCTTCTAAACACTTTCTTCTTTAACCACGACCAAGTCCTGTAGAATATACCATCGTTTACATCATCTTTCCAAATACCAGATTTCTTCTTCACTGCTTTCACTTCGGCTTTGACTAGTCTTTCAATAAGCAGGTTGTATGCTTTGACATCGCACAAGGCCGGAACGTGTTTTGCTGTGGCAAAACCAAGACTGATTATTTCTTCATTTATACAGGATCTCCTTCGCAACCAGCCCTGATAAAACAATGATCGAAGGCTTTGAATTTCAAAATAGAATAATTGGAAGATTCTTATTTTCATAATAATATTTCCCGCTCAAAGGTCTGGGCAAACTAGAAAACATTGTTGGGACAAATTTGGCTTTATAAGAAGCAAAAATGTTTACAAACAAATTCAGAAACATATTTTGCTTCCCAAATTAGTCCATAATCCCAGAAACTTGTCTAGCTAGGAAACAATGTTTCTTCAACTTTCTTGGTTTGTCCACCTTCGGAGAATATTGGGTAGAAAACAATGTTTCCTGGTTTGCTCACCTTCGGGAAACATGGCTATTAAAAGAAACAACGTTTCCTATAGTTTTCCCAAGCACTGGCTTTGAAGGACTACATACACACCTTATTTTGAGAAATAATTGATTCTATATTATCACATTCATCCTTGCCAAGAAGTTGAAACTTAATGTTTTGGTTTGGTAGTTGCGTATTAAGATAATCAACACCACCACTTTGTAACTCAATTCCAGTTACATTAACATTTAACAAGCTTGAATCTAGATACAGAAAGAGATATGCTTAGGACTACGAAATCGAAAATACTGACATTAAGCCGGTCAGTCTATCGAGTTCGTACAGCAAGATGGTCGTCAACTCAGCCAATTATCAGAGTGGGAAAATAATGCTTATTCTTCTTTATACAGAGAATTCGTGCCCCATAACATTCACTGAATGGCGTCTCTTTTACTACCTGGATTGGAGATGTAATTTATTCTTGCTCTCCACAGCAAAGGCAAGTGTAGGATACCCAGACAGCCATTATTGTGGACCTTTACGACCTTCCCAGTCAATGTGACATTGTTTCTGAAGTATATTTCTGGTATGGATGACTGCTTCGTGAAATGATGCAGCTAGATGAAGCAAAAATTTTAGAGCAAACCTTTTCTGAGGAAAGAAATGCTACCGACTTAAAAACGCACAAATTGTAAAAAACCTGCAGCAGACTTGTAGCAATGCTTTTCCAACAACTTGTCAACAGGATGTGTTCGCACTGCTTGTTCCCAGCTTGTTGACAAGTTGTCAACGGCTTGCTGATAACTTGCTACAAGGTTGTTGAGCTCAACAAACTTGTTACAAGTTGTTCCAACAACAACTTGTTATCGTCCTGCAATTCAACAATTTGTCAACAAGTTGTGAGTGCATGACAAACTTGCAGCAACTTGATATAATGACAACATTGTTACAACTTGTTGGCAGGCTTGCTACAAGCCTGTTGCGAACATATCTTGTTGGCAAGTCGTGAGATTTTTACACGTGCAGAAGAGAGATCTGTAATGAGAATGATGAAATGGATGCAAGGAATATCACTCCGAGAACGTGTCAAAACGAGGAAGAGCTGGAGTAAACTTCATAGTCAAGAAACTAGGAGCTGGAATGAGATGTTTTGAAGACCTTAAAAACCTTGTTTAGAATGGATCAGTAAAATTTACTATTTATGATCGAAAATGTACTCTCGAGTACTGCACAAATTTTTGGCAATGACTGGTATCTCTTGTCGGATTTACAAAAAGTCAACATTTTTCTTCACGGCTCTACGAATTTGGATACGTTAGATAATCTGAATATTTTTACGTTCAACAATACATAACGGAAACTAAACGTTTTCTTCATGGGCGTACCGGAAGGAAAAAATTAGGGGGGCGGGAAGAAAATTGCCCGACTTTTCGGGATTCTGCCCGACTAGTACCAAAAATTTTTTTCCGGAAAAATTATTTTGGCGACCTCCCCCCCCCCCCGTCGCCAAAAAAATTTCGGTCAGTGTACCATTTTAGGGGTCAAAAAAATTTTCCGGACAACCAATATTTTTCGGAACATAACAAAAATTTTCGAAAAATCACAAAATTTGCCAAAGAAGACACAGAATTTGTCAAAATTACAGAATTTGTCCCATTTTTTTTTATTGCAAACCAAAATTGCCCGACTGTTGATCGAATATTGCCCGACTGCCCAAAAAACTGGGGGGGCTGCCGCCCCCCCCCCGCCCCCCCGCCCGGTACGCCTATGGTTTTCTTAAATAGTTGAATATGTGTTAATCTGGCTGATAAGAGATCCAGTTGTCCAACTTTCTGAATGTGAAAATTTTCATTGTAAGAATGTGTCGCGTGAGCCCCGTAGCTCATGAGCTTCACGCTCTTGGGTAAACGCTAATGAAAAATAAATATGTCTATACAGAATATCACTTAGAGAGCATCTTATAAGCGAGGAGGTTAGAAGAAGAGTAGAAGTTTAATTAAAGCATAGTTAGGAAAGTAGAAGCAAGAATGAGATGGTTTGGCCATTTGCTGAGCTATTTAGCTAAGAGGGCATGGAAAAATCTATGGGAGAAAAAGATCCAGAAGAAGACAAACGATAAGATGGAGTGTTGAAATGAAGTAGATTATGGAAGAGAATGGACTTATAAGGTGGATGGTGCAAGACTTTTATATGTGGAAGAAAATACACTATAGAAGCAAGATGACATGGTCCTAAATTAAGAGATAAGAGGAAAAGAAGAAATGTAGATAGGAGCAATCCTTTCTTGATTGTACAGTCATAGAGCTGTTATATTATATTAATTCAGCATCGAACAGTACTAGTTCTGCAAGTGTTATGTTATTTGTGTAATTGTACACTCCGTAATATGTTAAGATGAAAATGTTCTAGAGTGTGTATTATATAATTTCCATACCCAGCGCAAGCAGAAAGATGTTGTCTGCCGCGGCAGAAAGATGTTACTAGGAAGTTTGGCTTGTGGATAAAAGTTGTGCCATTAAAAGAGAGTCTAATTTTAAAAGTTGGGTTAATCAGAATAGTTAAATGGCCTAGAAGGTAGCCTATTACCATATATATGAAGAATTGTCAGTGCCAATGTAGGTAGCAATGATAACAACAGCAAAAGCATGTAGGAGACACAATTACATTAAAAATACAAACTGTTTGTATTTTTCAGGTAGTTGTATCTCTTAGTTCATACAGCTGCTGTTTACTATATAAGGAACTCAATATCATAGTAGCATTGAGTGTTTATGTTTACAACAATTGTGATATTTATGTATGTATATATGTACTGGCAGCTAGAATGAGGAATCCAGTATGTAGTGTGGTTAGGATTTGACTGGTGACTGCTTAGACAAAATTTCTTTTACTAATATAGCAACATGTTATGAATTGACTCTTTTCACATGCATATTGCATAACTGGATAATTTAGTAGAGTCTATAAAAATAGATATCTGATCCACAATCGCAAAGGTGAAAAGCACTTTCCTGGACGACTGTGCCACTGAATTCCCAGGGCCGCAAGTCCGACCACCATGCACTTTAGTAGTGCCATTCCAACAATCTGTCTTGCAACTGCTGCAACCCACAACACTTACAGCGTAAGTTCTTCTAACAATGATTACCAAACCAATGCCACCGATTATCCAAACCGCATTCTACAAATGAAAAATAATTTCACATGCAATCAATTTGCCCACTTTATCAATCAAAATTCATTTTTCATTCTATAATGTGTTTCATGGCACAGTTTAACTCACTCTTATGATTTGTATATTATTGTCAAGGAAAATTTGAAATTTGTTCAAAATATTATGCTCCGAAAGCAACTCTTCATTTTTCCCAGATGAGTCATTTCTATTTTTATCCACCATTTCCAATCTCAACTTGCATGTTCTTCCATTTTATTGACAGTGCTTCCACTTTGCAAAAGTAATTTTCCTAATTCAAAAACCAAAATTTCCTTTTGTACCAAATTTCGCTATCCGTCAATTTGTAGAAATAAAAGACGGTTTTTTGGCGACTTTAAGAAATTGCAAAATTTATTAATTATTTCATTCGAATACAATCAGTAGAAGCTTTTTATTCATCAACCATAACTTAATAACCATAATTATTGTCTTATCTAGCGTTTTCAAGGGAAATATTTCGAATTAACTCTGTAAATCGCTTTCGTTCCGTATTTTTTGACACTTTTACGCACTTTCAATTCAAAATGTGGGCGACGAAAAATACCATCTGTCAAACACGGATACGAAGTTATTCCGACAGCGTTAATCTTTTGCCGTGCATGCATACTTGAAGTTAAATTTTACTAAATATAACAAATAATAAAGCTATTTTATTGCAAAAACATAATAAAATTGTATCCACGAAACATTATTTTTCTTCTAGTATTGAAAATAAATACCAAAAGCTGTTTATTTGCTAGGATCTTCAGGAAATATTACAAAACATTTGTGAAACACGGTGGTTTCCGATCGTGCCCAATAGATCTTTCGAGCGATGATATCGCGGGAAACTCGCTGTTCAGAAAAACGTTCGTTGCACGTTCAGCTGTGTTTCGGGGGAAGAATGGCGTCCGCTCGACAAAAAGTTTACAACTACGGAAGCGTGTTTATTTCGTTAGAAAATTGCATAATCCCGGCGGACAAACTCGAGAAGACACCCTCAGCTTTGGATGGATTGCCTAGCGAACTCGAAACGGACCTACGAATCGTTGGCTGCGAGTATATTCAAACTGCAGGCATCCTCCTGAAACTACCGCAGGTAAAAAGCGAATTGTTTCACAAATTTCTCCCTATTTGGGGTTGAATACACAGGCATTTTGACCAGATTTGTAGGCCTTCGATACATTGAAGTCTTTACCGCTTTTAAGTCGAGATTTTTAGTGCTTTTCGAAACTTGTTTTGAAGCGATTTTGCGGTTCGAAATGCTTGTGTATTTTCGCTTCCCCAAAGAAACTTACGAAAATTTTTCGGTCCTAATCTTTTCCTGTTGAAATTCAGGTGGCAATGGCGACAGGCCAAGTTCTCTTTCAGCGATTTTATTTCTCGAAATCTTTCATTCGCCACGATGTTGAGGTATGGTACTTAAATATTTGTTTCATATGTACAGAAATATATTTCAATTTGTCAATCTTAAAATGTGCTCTGTATTGAATTGTGGCGCCTTTGTCTTTGTGCATTTTTGTACTATAAACTAAAGACTCTTGTCATTCATATAAATGCGTATTATTGAGGTTGAAAAGGGTGTACCTTCATAAACTGCTTTAATGTCAAGTATTGAAAAAAAACCTGGGAATTTTACAAATTACTATTACAGGATAATCCTCAGATATTAACTTTTCATGAAAGGATTTTGCACTCACTTAATTTTTCCAGAGTACATTGAATCCCAGTGTGGAAAATCTGTATCGCACAACCGAGATATCGGTTTTGCAATTTTGATACTTTTTATATATTTACTATTAAATTTTTTAAATCTCGGGGCTGCAATTTCCAAACTTTCCAGCTGTCAGGCGTTGAGTGTAAACTTTGCTACAAAGATACACTAAAATTTACCATAAATACATAGTTATTTTTTCAAACTATACTGAAGACCTACATAAAATGCATACTGGAAATTACTAAACCAAAAACATAAAAAAATGTCATTAACCCATCGAGTGCCAGCACTCTCGCCTTGACGAGTAAAATCATCTGGCATTAGACAGAGTAAAATAATAAAGTTGGATGCATTAGGGCACCATGCGACTTATTGGGTTAAAAACTGAATTACATGCCATCAAAAACACATGATCAGAAAGTTCAGCCTTTGCACAAATTTTGTTTAATGACAGCAAGTTAAGATCTCGCATGTAATTTGAACCTAGTACTATCTCATCTGAACCCCAAGTCCCATTCTGAAACATCTGTACAATCTGACACAAATCCCCTAATTCTGTTTCTGTTGTTCTATTCCACTTCCAAATTATAAATGTTTTGCTGTGTCATGCAAAAACATTAAAAATACCTTCAATAATTCCATTGTGCATATTTAACACAGCCTAGATGCTGTAACATTACTCCATCTATTACATCTGTACTCCTTATCGTAGTTCATTGTCATCCAGACAATATTCTTCTGCCAATTTTCACAGGTGTACGCTATGGCAAGCCTTTTTCTTGCTGCCAAAATCGAGGAATCTCCTCGAAGAATACGAGACGTCACCAATGTTTTTCACCATATCAAACAACGCAGAAATCAGAAGTAAGTATTACTCTCATTTTGGGGATGGGATGTGGAATTTGAAGAGAAAAAAATATTAAAAATCTCAAATGTTGTGCATTCTTTGCTGTCGTAACGTATGGAATAAAGTAGTTTATGATTAAACAATTGGCGCATGTTATTTCGGTGAGTAAGCATTAGCCAGCTCCCCAAATTTATCTCACAATATAGTAACACTCATTGGTAATTTGAAAAGGTGAATTTTCGTCTATCTAAAGTTATCCTTTATGCTCCCAACTCTTTAGTGTTCATTCTCTGCTATCTCTTTACCAGACTTTTCAATACCTATTCCTTGACTTTTCTGATAAACCTTTACGAAACAGGCAGGCGGTTCAAAACAATGTGCAACTTGCACATTGTTTTGTCATAGTAAAAATTGCAAATCATATTTCCAAACAATGTACAAACTTTTTCTGCAACAACTCGACAACTTTGGGTCAAAAATTTGATTTGCATTTGTACTTTAATAATATGTTTTTGTAATAAAAGAATGTGGGTGAAATGTGACTGAAATCTTTTGAAATATTCACACGAAATTCACAACGAAATGGTTGCCATTTTGTCAATGTTTTGACTTTGCAAAATTTAAATTTCCTTGAAATTTTCACAAAGAAATTTGCAAATTGATTTTTCCTCACCAATTTAAAACTCTGCAAATATGCCTCTTAGCCTCTATCGCATATAAGTTCAACTCCCTAAACAGTAACAGTATAAATGGAATCCTGCTGTGCAAACTTACAACAGAAAGATTTAAATAATGCATGGAGCGGTGCAGCATATACAAGAAGGAGCAAAGTTTGGATGATTAATCTAACAACTGCGGCATTCAACAGTGCTTTGTAAACAGTGTAACAGAAGTTTCAAAAGTATACAGAAGTTTGATTTGCCTGAAAAGGTCAATGTATTATTGCCCATACAGTAGCTATGTACCAATCGTTTTTCACATCAGCACCTAGAAAGCTAGAATACCTGTCTGACGTGCATCTCTTTCTATTTTAAAATCAAAGACAGTCACAATATGCCAAACTCCGTCCTGTTGTTGACATTTTCAAAACACAACTGGCAACTGGGATTGGATGATTGGTTCAAGTGGAATGGTCAGTATAACAATTTTATGATTCAGTATTGTACAACTATTGGTGTGATGGTTTTGGTAAGCATGTGTCATGATGGTATTTTAATTTGCCAACAGGGTTATGTCACATTTTGACATCAGAAACAAACTTTCATAAATTGTCATAACACAATGAAAATTAAGGTGAAGCCTAAAGCTGTCAAATGGCTAGCCATAGCTAATCATGCAATAATTTTAAAAAGAAGACGTATTAAATTAGTGTGTGGGTAGCTATGGGTTTAAAGCTGGGCCTTTATTTTCATCAGAGGTTTAGAAGTTTGACTTGTAATTAAACCTATTGATATAATCTCAGTATAATAATAATTGATATAATCTCAGTATACAGCATTTACATTCAAAGAATACGTCAAATACCTTTTATGATTTGCTTTAATTAAAGCAAATTCTCAAAAAGGGCTTATTAATCTGACCAATGATCAAAATCAAGCTTCTGCACAATTTGCTCATGAGCAGATGCTGAAAATAACTAGTGAGAAGGAAGAACTCAGATGATGTACAAATGCACATATTCAAATGGCTCATGAGAAACTCCGAAGATGTTCAAAGGCTTACAAAAGATGCTGAAATGGCCCATGACCAGCTAGGTCATTTGGCTCATGAACACAAGGCCAAATGGCTCGCAGGTAGAAGCACAATTGACACATGGACATGCAAAAATGGCTCATGAGAACATGAGCAAGTTCCTAAATACTCATTTTAGACAATGCTGGATCACCTTGAGTTTCTTTATGAAAACGTTTCTCACTTCAAACAAATTGCTGTTTTTGCATGTAACCAAAGAACATCAGCAATATAATACACAGAAAGAGTTTGCTTATTCTGCACAAGCGAATAGATTAAAGTGTCAACATTTGTCTGGAAAATGAGTGGCCACAAAGTATCCAAAAGGAAAGTTTTTTTTGGTGTGATATGAAGCTGGGAATGAAGGTGGATTGTGAAGACTTGGCGGACTACAACAAATAGATGTAGAGCTGCTCCCATCGGTTCGTTTTCATAATCGATTAATCGTTGTCAACAATCGATTAATATCGATTAATCGTACTGAAAATTAGTTTAAATATATATGACATCCCCATGGTGGTTTGTAAAGTTTTTACTAAATTTGTTGGGGTTGCATTATTCAGTATTAACGTTTTACATAAATCGACGTTTAAAATAAACGTTAATCTCGGTTATCTCGCGCTCTCACACTCCTCACAAGAGATATCAATTCAATACCAAGACAAAGTTTCATGTTTTATCACTTTTATGACAGCCATGTTTAATAAAAACTAAAAAGTGTTCGTAATCCTATTCCAGTATTCCTTCAACAAAACAAGATTACTAACAATCAAATTTTCCAGTGAACAAAAACTAAAGAACGTAACAGATTGTCAAATGCAATTATG